TGAAGCCGGAAAAAGCCCAAAGAAGAAAAGAAAAAAGAATGAGGAATAAAGTTATCATTTGAGAAAAATGAGGAAAGAAGCACTCACGACACGCATTATAACACAGTCAGTGAATTGCCGATTCTACTTGACAAGAAGCGTGAGACAAAATTTCTTTTAAAAAATCGTGGGGGACAAACCACTCCAGGAACAATATATAAGGCAATGGACAAAGTATAAATCAACTAAGATCAATCATTTACATGACTTACATGATCATTTACATGAAAGGTAAAAGTTAGTTGAAATAGTCGGAAATACACTAGGGGAAGTTAAGAATCGGAAGATGAAGATAACCTGAAGCAGTTATACAAGCAACTATCGACCATTTAGAAAATGACATTGCAATAATACGGTTCACAAAATTTCTCAGACTGATAAGTGCCATTTTTGACGGGAAAATATTATTTAATAAAAATTATCAACATATTTATTTCATTCCATTTCATATTTACTTCATATAAATAAATTTACGATAATCATATTATCAAAATAATTATTAGCATAATATTATGAAGTTATTCATAGTATCGTCTCGGCTTGTCCATTTCTAGAAAAATGTCAATACATGTAAAGACAAAAAATATTTCTGCCTCCACTGGCAGATCTGTAACTGAAATTGAAAGCAATGTTTTTCATTTCATTCTCTTACTTTTATATTTAAATTAATTCATTTTGAAATTCCCATTGAGCAGTGAAATTGTATGGGCTATTATTTCTGTACACTGTAAGTATATTGTTCGAAGGACACTTGAAACACGTACCCCGGAAAAAACAAAACAAACGTTTTCAAAAATAATTTATTCTATATAATATTATAATTCTACAATTTGGCTAGCGTTTCAATATTTAGGCTTAAAAAATATATTTAATTTTTTTTTTAAATTTAGTTGCCGTTAAAAGACATTGTTCTTTACAAAATACGAAAAGAATTGTGAGTTCAAAACAATCTATAACTGATAACTCCTTCTGAATTTCTAAACCTCTTAAGAAAGACTCAAGTATCTCTCAGAAGAAATGCCTAATCACGTGGTTCATTTTTATCGCATGACGTGGATATTGAGAAGTATATAATGGCATATTACTGAGATCTCGGCACCTTTATTGGGAAACTTACGACATGTTCAAGCTCGCGGTTCTTTTCTGCCTGGTGGCGGCTGCCTTCGGTAAGGAATCAGTTTAATTTAATGGCCCTTCATTAGCAAAGGAATGACTTGATTACTCCAGAATCATGTTCCATGAAAACAAGTAGTAGCTGTCAACAAAATTTTAGTAATCCAGAAATTAAACATTTTCTTTCTTTAAAAGCAATCTTTAAAGTTCTTGCAAAGCATTTTTACTCTAATATGTAAACGGTCACCCTGGCGCTAACGGTTAACGGCCACATGGAAAATGGTAATGCAATGATGAAACTTTGATCGCGAATATTCAGTTTCAGCTTGATGTCAAACATATATTTGAAATTCTGAGATTAAATGGAATTCAATTTTATTTAAACGAATTTCGTTTCCAGCTATTTCATCACGTAGCATTCGTCTTTAACAAATGTGTTAACTAAAGATGTACTGGAAGAAATAGATTAAAAGTGTACATTTGTCACATAATCAATGTGATTTGTTTCATGAATCGCGAAGGACAAATAAATCCAATGTGTGTACACGTTATAATATTATAATGATCCTCCTCTACAACAGCTACTTCCTTCCCCGAGTTTAACATGATATCACCACACGTTCAGCATCGGTGACAGTTGAAAGGAATACAGTACCATTACCCCCAACCGCCTACGACTTCAATGGCATGACATGTGTGCACTACTGCATTCCACGTTTGGAGACCACCTCACGCTTGAAATACCCTGAGTGTAGAATGTACTCGCGAGCGGAAAGCCTCACCCTTAAAATCGTTCTCTATGCTGTACATCTGTTGAGATATACTCCCCAAATAGCGCTTAAATTCCTCGTGCAGAAGATGACCAAACTCTGATGAAACTATTTTTCCTTGCAGCAGGCACCACCCGCACCACTCCCCTCCCCCGTCTGGATGGGCGCATCGTGGGCGGAGCTGACACCACCATCGAGCAGTACCCCTACCAGGTAGGTAGCCCTCATCCGCCACTCACATTTCCAAACACATCTACACGCCATATGGTTTATTCAGAACTCAAACGAACAAAACTCGACAAACGTCTGTAGATATTAATATGATTAGCAATTTATCTAAATTTTATAAATGATTTAAAAATATATACACTTTCGTTTTTATACCTCTACTAAAGTTTTTAAAATTTGCCACAACGATTTCGAATGAAATAGTTTGTATATGTATATGTATATATATGTATATGTATATTGTGAAAAGTAATTTAAAAAAAACATATTTGACGTATAGGGGTGGGTAATATATCTACACATATTTTCTTGACGCTTAGAATCTTAACAAATCGTTTTTTTCTGTATTAGTTAATCATTTACCAACAAAGCATGAGCAATAGAAATTTAGATAGTGAATCCGTAGCATTCTAGGCAGCAAACACTATTTGTTTTGTTTTGAAAAGTGTAATTTCCGTCAAATCAATCTCAGCCGACTTCTTGTCGTTGATATTTTTTAAGTTTATATTTTGTTCTTAGATTTCGCTGCAGTACTATGGCAGCCACATCTGCGGTGGATCCATCATCAGCGAGAACTACGTTCTGACCGCTGCCCACTGCGCTGGATAGTAAGAATTATCGAGTTATTTATTGCTTGATAAATATGCTCATGTCAATATATGACATTTCTTCCGCTTACGTTATTGCAAGCGGGGAAAGTTTCATCTTATAATTACAGATAACAATCAGCTTAACGTATGATAAATAATTGTTGAAAAACTTAATTTACACTGACAATATACTGCTGCATGTAAAAGAACAGGCTCGGATACATGTAATGGTCAGAATGTTCAATATAAAAATTTACGTTAGGGATGCTGGCGAGAAAATTTGTCAACTGAAATATTACTACGTGCTCAGTTACAGTAAAATATTCTACTTTGAACCATTAGAAAGCTATTCTAAAATGATCATGAGCTAGGATTCGGTATTTGCTTTAAATTAACATTGTTTTATACCTGATATATCAGACTAACGTTATTGTTTCAGCCACTAGTGTCACATTTTGTTTGCACTTCCCAGACATGTTTATTGATTCAAATTGGGAGGCACACTGTAAGTTCAAAGAATGCTTAATAAGTAGGCAGTTGATAAGTTGACTTCCTACAAATAATTAACCCTCGATAAAGTGTATAACGATCCAAAAACGTTGAAATACAAACGTTTGATTTTGTGTTCAGCTCCGCCTCTGGCTACACCATCCGCGCTGGCAGCACCAAACGCGGTTCTGGTGGCGTCGTCTACAGCGTCTCTCGAGTGGTGCGCCACGCCCAGTACGACTCTTGGAACATTGACTACGACTACGCCCTCATCCAGGTACACACTCGTGTGGACAAATACCCAGAAACAGAGTAATAGTGCAGGGCGGAATTTTACAGTAACTGGATTCTCTGTACATGTAGATCCAAGGCTCCTTCTCCCTTGGCGCCTCCCAGGCCATCGTCGCCCTCCCCGAGCAGGATGAGGACGTCGCTGCTGGCACTCCCTCCGTCGTCACCGGCTGGGGCGCCCTCCGCGTAAGTACCACCCGCGGATCAACGGCATTCACTCCGATGCCGAACATCATTTTTATTTCCAAGCAACTTGGTATGTTGTGTACTTAATTCTATCTGGAGAAATGATAACTATATATCGGAGGAAATTATATTTGACAATCGTGTACTATTTTTGATAACTATTTTTATGTATTAAATTTATATTATTTTCAACAATATAAATCGTAAAGTCGTTGCATAATTTTATGAGGTAATCATGCTGCCAATTCACCAATCTTAGTTCCAGCAAGAAAGAGAACTAACTCATTTATTTTTCTTCCGCAGGAGAGTGGTTCCTCTCCCACCATCCTCCAGCAAGTCGAGGTCCCCATTGTGGACCAGGCTGTGTGCAACAAGGCCTACGGTGGTGACATCACTGCCCGCATGATCTGCGCTGGTATTCTCGAACAGGGTGGCAAGGACGCTTGCCAGGTAAGTATCCAGAAAAAATCTCGGCAATCACCACTTATTTATTAAGAATTTAACTCGTGAAATCTCATCAAGTTCTTCTCATCTGAAATCTCATAAAAAACTTAATTTTTCTATGACTATCTGAAGTCGAGAGACTACATCGTGCAAATTGAAGAGTAGAGTTCATTCTCCATGACTAACGACTTATGGAATGTTTGCAAATTCTGAAATATTACAGTGCAAAACGGAAATAAACATATTTCAAAAATATAATTGAAAAATATTATATTTACCAATATCTGCATATGTAGTACAAGTACTTGTATATATGCAGTGGATCATATTAGAAAATCCTGGTATTCACTTTCACGCAAAAACGCAATTCTTCACACATAATTATAACCACTGGACTTGTAATGTTTGTAAATGGGGGAACATGTCAGACGACTGCCAGACATTGCGTTTATACACTTTCAAAATACTTTCCGTTTAAAACACTCAATTTTTGAACTAAAATGTCGTCATCGTCGCTACACTAAATATAACACTTGTTCTTACAACAAAACGTTGACAACTTTTGGTAGATTGATTGTGTGCTGCGATTACAAGTCCAACTTCTTGTAGTTGGTCTTCAAAATGTCGTAACAAACAGATAAGCGCTGCAGATAAGCGTTAATTCAATAAATTTAGAGAAATTATTAATATATAGTGCTATTACTATAAAACATATGAGGCCCATTGCTTTTTATTTACTTTAAAAAATACGAAATTTGGTTGAATAGAAATCTCAAATTTCTTTCTAAACGAAAACCCATCACGTTTTAAAATTTTTGATGATTCACTTAAGGTAGTACAATCTTTGGAGATGAACCTCAGAACGGAGTGTGAAATGTTGCTTTGTCGCTGCGCAGGGTGACTCTGGCGGCCCTCTGGTGGCTGAAGGCAAGCTGGTCGGCGTCGTGTCCTGGGGATACGGCTGTGCCCGCCCTGCCTACCCCGGCGTGTACTCCCGCGTCGCTGTGGCCCGCGACTGGATCAGAGAGAACTCCGGCGTCTAAGGTGCTGGAGCTCGCCTGCGATGCAAGCTGCCTCGGCAGCGGACCGCAGATGGCGACGCCGCCATTTTGTAAAGGCTCATTGCCATTTTGTGCATGTACCATCTCATGTACGCTTTTGACACTTGTCATTATGGCCTGGCGTCAAACATGGCCGCAGAATAGCGATTCCATTCACGCTTATGTGCGGCATTTGAAATAAAAAACCTTATTTTAAGTAAATATGAAACAATTATTTTGTCCTTCTTCAAACGACACGTTATCTTTCTTCTCGGCATACAATGTATTCTTAATTTGTGGGAGAGTTTTGGAATTGATTATTTTAAAAAATGAGACTCGCTGGTAAGTTCATATGGATTTCTTTTATTTACTTGTCTGTGGCTATTGGTTTGACATCACACTGAATGCTCAATAGTGGATCTGAAAACTTATCCAGAGTTCTAGAATTTCAGAAGTATCTTTCCTGATAATTGAAGAACAAGTAAATATTTTTTCTCGGTCATTCGTTTTTTGAATTTTGTTTTAATGTATAATATATAGTAAAAATGTCATTATAAAAACAACTAACCGAATTATTTTATCGATATAACTGCTTAATTTCAAATATTAAGGTTTTTTAAATAGAAAAGGAAATAGCTCAACCAGGTGTGTGTGGTGACGCGAAGAATTGAAGTGCGTAAATCCCGAGATAAAAACGAGGACAAGAATATTTGTGCAATTCACGGAAATTTCTCAAAACATGATTTCATTATCTCTGAAGTGGGCGATATAGTATTGTGAAATTAATGATAGGCTCTCTTAAATTGGAATAAAAAGATTGAGCGTAAGATTTCATGGACGTTATTGGAGTGTATAATGTTAATACATATATAGTGTCCTCTGAGATACTTGAGTACCACTCAAAGATTCTTTTGATCACTGACGTCAATATTGAATACACATTGACTTCGTATTGACATTCGGCACCCAATACCTGAAGACTTTTAGCGTTAGAGCGGCTGCTTTTGTTAAGATATCAGTAGTAATTTAATTATATATTGTAACTTATAATTATTTGTTACTTTATTTTGTAACTTACTCATAATTGTGGCTTTGGGACTCTTTTGATGGACATATAAATCATCGAAGACATAAAAAACTTCAAACACAAAACATGGGCGTGAGAAACACATCGTATTTAATACATCAATTTTTTTTTTCTAAAACACATCGATGTTTTAAAAAAAACCGGCATCAATATCGCATTGCTTTGTCGAAATTGGGTGTCGAGACTTCGGTTTGCATAAAATCCGACGTGCTATTAATATAAAATACCCTTCAGCCTGTGCAACGCATGTTTTGCCATAGTCATTCGAACTACTAAAATGCTATTGTTATTCAAATACACAATATCTCGTAAATACAATAACTTTCTTCCCGCCACTCGTTATACGCTTTCGTTCACCAAGCTCGTGTCGTTGGTGTCGGTATGAAAAATGATAAGACCCATTTCATATTATAACCACATTTAAATTATGAATAAATCTACTTGGCCTACTTTTCCAATGCATTAGCTTTCGGGCATTCATCATTGAGATAGAACGGGCTTCATAGTGAGTGAAAATGAACGAAGTTCTCTGAAAGTATGGTGTATGCAATATAGAACGCTTTCAAAAAAATAATGGAGTTTTCAGACCTGGAATATAACGTTCTTAAGTTATGATCACGCGAATTTTATATCTCTGAAGAGTACGTGATCTACGGATTAACGTTTTAGGAAATTTTTGTTAAAAAACGAAAGAATTTATGTGATAACACCTAATCTGTGTGATTAGTAAAGTGAGGAATATGTGAGCTTATTTAAACGTTTTTTAGAATTTAATTACGAAAAGTGCAGTGACTACCGATACTCATAAGTGAATTGTTTTATAGAACAGGTCGGTTGAAGAGAATATGAGAGGTAAAACAAAGGCGGATTAAATAGTGAAGTATGGAAGAACTTGTATTTGCGTAGACTTGGAAGGTAAGTAAAGTTAAAATGCACAGAGATGATGTTTTATTGCGTGGTCAAGAGAATGTGGAAAGAAGTACAAAAATGGTGAGAAACACTATCACAGTGGAGAATAAGATCTCGACAATTTAGGATATACAAAGAATCTGCAATGAATGTTGAACTAGGATAGTCGCGGTTGCAGTTTGAACAAACATTCAGCATTTCGGGGACATTGTCGCGAAATTATGAAAGTTGCGACCACGTTTATAGTTAACCTAGCATGTTCAATGGAGTTTTTACATTAGAAAGAATGTACAAATATTATTGATGTAAAGCTTCTCGTACTAGTCTCGTAAACCTTTAGTAATAATATTTCCAAAAAAATTAACATTTTCCGCAATGTCGAATTGCTTCGATATATTTAGTGAAAAACCTCTACAAAAAGTTTTGCACTAAACTTAGAAACGCCCGTTCGCTGTTTCCTACAATATTATCGATATTTAAATTCTTTGCCATTCGCCGTTTCATCCCAACGCCAGGAATCTGTTTCGCAGAAGCAACGCGAACTTCTGGCTTGTCACACGACGGCAGCAGCCGTCACGTTTCTTTCGGTCTCGGATCTAAATGTGGATGCTCGTTAAGTCGCAGAAGCCCTCTTTCCTGCCATGTGTCGACTCGTTTATGACTTTCAACATTGCATTCGGCCACTCCCGCACCTACCACCCACGCCACGAAGGATATTGGCGCCATTTGATGACCCAGTAAACCACGATGATCGTTTCAGTTTACATTGCAGTCGAACATTGACAGGAAGTTCAATAATCTTAGAAAGTGTGTGGTCTTCAGCTCTTGCTTCTAGATAGGGTGTGGAGATGAAGTCAGTTGCTTTCCAATGGACACGGGAAACAAACATTCAAATATTGGAAGTAGTTCGTGCTTTCACCCGATCGATCTATTTATGATGTCTTGTGTGCTGTGGAACTTTGCCATTGGAACATAGTAATAATATTTGTAAGATGTTTCTAGAAATGTGTACATTGAATGCTTTTCAGATTGAAGAGGAACAAAAATCGTTTCATTTAAACATAAACGAGATTCGAAAACATTACTTTAAAATTGCAAAAAACAACAACAACAATAAACAAACTTGTGTTGAATATGAATGTGTAAGAAATGTTTGTTGATTATTGATTTGCAAAGAATAATAATATTTAATATGTTAAATATAAGTAAGCATAATGCCACATCAATTTTGTAGTTGAACTTTTTAACTTCATAATTTTTTGTATGAATTCCACAATTTCAAACGTATCATAAAGCAGATAATTCTCAACAATTGATATAAATCGATCAATGAAATATAAACGTGTGCAATATTTGTCGATATTCGTCGTTTAAGAATAGAATTAGGTCTAAAATTAATGTTAAAGAAATAACAAAGTATTTGCTAAATGTTAAAATTTTCCTATGTGAATGTTTCCTATTCTGCTAAAGAAATTGTTTCCTTTAAAGACTTTATTTTTCTATAAAGTTCATCACTCTGGTCACAAACATCTTCCTCAAACGATTCCAAGTTCAACAAGCGAATTGGTTATGGTTGTTAACTTGAGAAAGTAGTCCACAGCCGACTGAATAGTACTGATATTCAAATTAATGTTCAAAAATTTGTATAATTAAATTAAATTACATCAAATTGAATAATGAACTGAAAAACAAGATGAAACAAGCATCACAACTTTGAAATTAATTTTTTCTACAATTATAAACGTTGCTTTGTGCGTTGAGATTCATGATGCATAAAATTGGAATTTGCGAATTTCTAATTAACGATTTTTAACTGTATCAACTAGATATATATTACATACTAACTAAATATTTTGTATTCATCTGGATAGGGAGAAAGAAAAAGTAACTTTGAGAAAACTTTAACTCGAAATTCTTCACCTCCTCTAAAGTAGCCCACACTATTATGTTTTATACTTTTAGCTTCATCGTTTGCCCTTTCCGTGGAAATACTAGCATCTGTAAGCTCACATCGTGGGTAAAAATGCTACGAACAAATTTTCTTGCTTCCTATTTTCTTCATTAAACGCGTTCATGGATGAACGTATCCCGTCCACCTGTGAGTAAACGTACATGTACCAAATTGTTTTCTTAAACACCTGAAGGTGAAACTGTTAGTCTGTACACCTTCAGAATGGGCTTACATCCGAGACGTGAAAAACTTGTTCAGTTACAAACTTTACGAGTCTCGCATAATAGATCTCATTAAAAGTGGTAGGTACAGCTACAGATATTTTATAGGAAATTTGGATGATTTTTAGAATTTCGTATCATTCATCATAGAAGAAATCGGCATCTCAACTTTTGTGCCTGTTTTTAGGAGTCTTTTCTTTAATGGAAAATAATTACTAGTATTAAATATCAGGATTAGGATTATTTAACTAGTAAATTTTACACCGCTTTATAATTAATATACATTTTATATTATTTATCATTAATAAAAAATATGAAAAAGCTGTTTAGGCAACCTATTTATTCAAATTAATTTCGTGTTATATTCAATATAATATCTTTAGAAAATAAGAAACACATAGATGTATTAGTAAAAATAGTGTGTTGTAATTCATTCTGTTAAGTCAAGTTTTAAAAAAATGTTTTCAAAATGCAGTTTTATATCCACAAGAACTCAGCTAATTGAATCGATATCCAATTTCCCATTGAATATTTCACATACATGGTGTAGAATGGGCACGATTATGTATACACCTACATTAACGTATTACAAATTTATGTATTTGATTTTTCAAAAACGCAATGTTTGATCACTTTCTCGCAGCGCATGAGAGGCGGTAAAGCATGAACCGTATTTGAGAAAACGTATATGAGATTAATGAAACGGGGCAGGGGATATGGGAAAAGGGAGATCAAGGGAAAAAAAGCAGGCGCTTCTCCTTCTGACACCGGTATCCCGTCTTTCACACCATCTACCAGTTGAGATGCTCATGATCATCATTGCCACTGCAGTGAATCTGACATGCAGTTAAAGTAGCGGACGGTAGAGGATGATCTACACAAGTTACATAGCTAGGAGGAGTTCAGC